TTAAATAGGTAATATAGAAAAGTTACACATGTAGCCAATTGTACACTCTCTTGTAGTGGTTCATTGAACCACAATACCAATAAATAATTAATAAAAGTCAAAAGACCAAAGAGGTCACCTTAATACCAAAAAAATAAATAAATAAAGATACAAGCAAAGCCTTATCTTAATATCCAAAAAAAAAAATTTATAATTAAATTCTTTAAAATGATCTGAAAATTTTGACTCAACAAAATACTCTTTAACAAAAATGCAATATATTTCAAATAGTTTAGGTTTGTAGTCTTTGCTTATGTTACATAATATGCACAATGATATAACAGTTGTATTGTTACATGCTTTATGTTCCTAAGAGTTACTCTAGTTAATTTTGTTTAGTCTTTTAATAAAAAATTTTTTTCTATATTTATTTTTCTTTTAATTATTTTAGTGAACAAATATGTTCACTAACTACTGACGGTTTTAAGAAATATGAAAATTTCAAAAGACCACATATAAAGCTATATAAAAAATGATCTACATACCCACTACCCTTAATGGCTTTTGTTTTGAATTTTCCTGATCGTGTTACGTTACACCTGATCTTGAGATTTGATTGGTCATAATGCTTTTTAGGCAAAACTATTGTTTTTTAACTTGAAGCTCTATTACCATGTAAAGATAATAATCTAGTACGTATAAGTTGTCGAAAGAATTAATGTCAAATTTTAACAATAAATATGTTTTAATTAGTTTAGTCCGCACCCTAACATAACGTTAATTGATTTATAGTGGCACACTACGTTAGTGTTCTAACACCATTGCTTTGAAAGTTTAGAGCCAACTCTAGACCTGCAGTAATTCAGATATTACACTATTTGGGTTGGTACACAGCAAAACCATGCTCTGAGTATATGTAAAATATATACTAAGAGCATGGTTTTGTTGTGTACCAACCCAATTTATAATTGAAATAGAATATATAAGCTTGCTTTTGATGTCAAAACCGGATATTACAGTAAAATTCTGTGCTACCTAAGACTTTGTTTTTCACGTTTATTTAACAAAAAGAAATTTGCGATCGATTGGTTTCGGGTCAGAATTTAGTCTGGATTAACAGGATATCCGACATCAACATCGATATCGATATGTGAACTAGAATTTCACACAGGTGTTACCCTTGTGATCATCGTACGTTGGCTAATTTACGCACGTAAGTACCTAAGCGGAAATCACAAAATTAGATGTATAAATTATGCCAGTCCGAGATCGTAATTTAAGATTGATTTGTTTTCGTTGTCTTCGGAAACAAATATCGAAATTTGTCCTTTGTTGTTCAGAACATTTGAAATTATTGACTCGTGTCCCTACAGAAACTTAACTCGTAGAACAACAAGAGGCCTTTCGTAACTGTTACTTTTTTGCCAATTAACGGTAAAAGTCTTCACCTTCGGAAAACGTTTTCCCATTTCACTTTAATTTTTTTTTTTGCATTCATATTAATTATTTGTTTTTTTAGTGACGAAATTGTATGTTTATATATTTATATCGATTTTTAAACTTTAGAGTTTTTTTTAGCTTTTTAATTTAAATTAAGCAATTCCCACGCTTAAATAATTTCGAATGTATTCATTATCTTTAATCCTTTAGCTAATTAACAATGAATGTTGTTATTACAAAAATTGGCATTTCGGTCACAAAGTCAGATGGAGTTGGCTCTTTCCAACCAACCAATACTGATAGCGATACCGCTACATGCTATTATCGGCAAATTGACAAAGAAGAAGACAAAGCTGTATCATGGTTAACAAAACTTGGACAGTCTTTAGCTAAATGGCTACGCGAAAATGGAGATTATAAAATTAACAAATGTAATTTATACACTCATAATAACAAAACGTGTATTTGATTAGTGCATAACATAATTTATTAATTTAACATAATAGCACAAGAAGTTTTACTCGATTTTCCAGAGGGATATTTCCTTTACGAATATCTTAAAGTGTTATCCGATGGTACACAGATATCGGATACCTATTTGTTCGGTAAGCAATAATGAACAATGAACATTAAAATATTATATTTAAATCACTATTAATATTATTTTAATCGAATAGGCGCGCATAAATTTGAATCGCCGAGTGAATTCATACCTCATTTAAAATGGCTAGTGTCAAAAGACTCACAGCAATGTCAATGCGTACATTGTCCTCCATCTCCAAAAGCGACAAAACCAACGTCAAGTGTTTCAACATCTAAGCAAAAGGTATCAAAATCGTCGAGTAAAGCTACGGCTATAAGATCATCCAAGCTTTCATCGGAATCTACACATAATCCGCAAGAATCAGAATCACTTCAAACATCACGTTCCCTCTCGAAATCACGGATGTTAAAACCTAGCGGAGATGGAGAATCATCCAAAGATTCATCCAAAGATCCATCAACAAGAGGACGTAAAAAGGACGATCGTCCAAAAGCCAAATACGCTGAGTATCGTACTGGGGAAATAGTCTGGGTCATTCTTGCAAAAACTGGTGATGCCATTCTCATTGACAAATTTAAAGATTTAATTGTCGGAGACTCACCGATTACAAATTGGCCGGGTGTTATTTACTCTCGCGGAAAAGTCGCGCCAGATATAGATATTGTAAAATTCACAGTCAAATTGGTCGTACTAAATACAGAAGTTTCTATTAGACGGACAGGATTGATACCTTGGAAAGCTTACAATCCTGTGATCCCGGAATCATTCTTTGAAAGTGTAATAGGAAGTATGTAAAAAAAAAATTACCAAATTAATTTTTGATACTGATATAATTTAATTTTTAACAATTACTAAAATTAGATAACTTGAACGAACAAATGGAGCCTGAAATTGACATAAATATTCAAAATTACGTCCGGGCAGTACACCGTGCTAATGAAGCGGCGCAAACATATTCACCAATGAAGATGTTCAAGTACGTGGAAAATAATGCGCGTCTAAAATCAGTTCAAGATCCAGACGAAAGACAAAGGCTCATTGACATGGAAAAATATCCACACTATGAGGCTTTTATGTATGGTGCTGAAATGATTAGACCAGGTGATCTGGTACGATTAGTGCCTGAAAATTCTATGGATCTTGATGCCGAACCTGAATACCCAGAATTTCTCGAAATCCGAACAATTTATCGACATCCAGAGAAGGGAATGCAATTCACAGGCAACATTCTACAGCGTGGAGAACTTTTAAATAAAACGGGTCCGGTAAAGTTAGAAGATTATAAATGGTGGATAGTAAGTTGAAATGGGATCAAAAAATTTCTTTTTATTCTTATTTGATCAGTAAATCTGACATTATTTTATCACCACTCACATATAGTCTCATGACATTGCTGAAGAATATACTATAGATCTTGAAGATATTGCGGGTCGATTTTATTTAATGATGCCGCATTTAACAGCCCGCACTACAGCTCGTGTTTTTAAAAAGTTAAATGATCGAATGGAAATCATTGAATCTGGGTCAGAATTAGAAAAATCACAAGAAATTTCTCCTAGCATTGCTCCTACTAAAAGAAACATGGCTAAACTGAGTACACGTATTGATAATTCCGATGAGTCAACCTCTTCACCAAAAAGGCAAAAGAAATATATTGTCAAAATTCAAAAAAAGACTGCTGTTAAGAAAACAAAGAAAACCAAGGAATTAACAAGTTCCTAATTTTAGCAAGTTCATCATTTCAATTTTGGACTTACTTTGGTATGTTAACCAGATTATATTATAGATATTGACACTGTGCTAATATAAATCTGCGAAGATTTTAGTTATTCATTATTCATTTATTGTAGATGATTCTATAAGAGATAAGTTGCATGATCAACCTTTGATGTTTTAAAGTCAACTTTTTTTTACTTGATCAATGGAATGTCTTGTAAATTCGTTAACGCTAGTTAGATATATATATATATATATATATCAACATATTGTGAATAGTTATATGCAGAATTTATGAATAATAAATGGAAGTAATATTTAGTGGCTTTTATGCGAACGATATTTATACTGATGTATATAGACAGATGATTTATTACTATGATGGGGTATGCATATGTTTAAATAATTTAACCGATTTTGGAAATTGTCTGCTATAAATCGATTAACAAATTTTATCAGTCGAATGATGAAAATTGATTTATCTTTTGTTGACTTTATATATCACTCATAAAATAATTGTTTAAATTGCAAGACCAAACAATAAATTCGTTGTGCGATAGAATAAATTTGGAATTCGTTGGCGGAATTATTTTAATTTGAGATGGACATTAATCTAAAAAAATCCGATTAAAAAAAATTTAAAATACATCATAACATACCTCATAACATTTTATTATGTCAAATTATTTTATTTAGGTATGAAAGTCAATATCTTTTATTTCTTTACCGTATTTACGCGAAATAGTGCCCCGGGCGTTGTCTTGAGAAATTTAATTTCCAGAGTTAAAAATGAAAACTTTTTATAAATTCGTCAAAATTAATTCTCAGTTCTCCGGAAATTATGCATTCAATTAAAATAACTCCCTGAGCATTATTTCGTGACGATACGGTATATGCATGTGTGCCATTTCAAAATAAGAACTGGCAAGTTTATCATGAAATAGATGATATGTTAGGATGGTCGGCTTCAATAGGCTTAATATTGATGAAATTTCAGCGTCTGAAAATTGAAGACAATAAGTTCGGAAGTAATGAATTAGCTATTTAGTTAATAGGTCCTTCCTAAAAGCAGAAGATTAAATGCAACCATGACGAACAAAAGGCTTTATACATATCCATTGATTAAGTACCGTATTCATGCGAACCCATGGACATTATTTCGAGACAAATAGTTTGAAGAATGCTTAAAGTCTTCGGCTAAATTAATTATTAACAATTTTCAAACCATGTTTCTCGAAATAACGCCCATGGGCGTTATTTCGCGCAAATACAGAAAAGACTTTACAATTGAGAAATACATATTAAAGTGTTCAATCAAATACGTGATATTTCGTAACGACACGGCGTCGTGATCTCGACTCGCATAATATTGCCGCAATATAACATAACATAAAAATAAACAATAAAAAGAACTGGGTCGTCCGTTTAGATTTTACACAGATCTGGTATTAGGCAATGTATTGAGATGATATTGCATATACCAAGTCTCTTACATTTCGTTTCATCAATATCTTTGATTTATATTAAAGAACCGAATATACGACCTTTTAACAGTAAGTTTGATCACATTACGGCACGTTTGTGGAAATTGACGTCAAGTACTAACTCAAATTATAAAGTTAATAATTACTATTATCATATTGCAAATCACATTAATTTTTCCACGATTATCTAATCTGCGATTTTACGCAGCTTGCGCGAATGACATCATGCCTCTCAGGAAATAAATTATTTTGATAAGAAAATTTTAATGATCATTTATCAATATAAGTTGTTTTTTTTTATAAGGATGATTAGATTACGTCCTCATTGCGTAATCAACAAATATACACTTGACGAAAGTGGACGTTTGGACTCCCAATCAAACTTCAATCATAATTCTTGGATGGGTCTTGGATACTATTCTAATTCTAAACCCATAAATTTGGTTGGTCTAAATTAATAATTTATATAATTTAAGGTCTAATCAAATGAGTATTTCGTCCAGACACTCCGACTTAAGTGGTGCAAAAGTATTATATACTTTACGGAGACAACCGAAATTTTTTCGTTCCGGAAAAATCATTTCTTATCGGCGAAATTCACTGGACTTTGAGTTTAGCTCGAAGCACTAAGTCTAATCAATTTGGACCGTCAAAAGTTTAATCAAAGTCACTGGACTTCGGACGCCAAACGCCCAATCAAAACCATTAGACCATTGGACATGACAACACTGGATATGCGTACATTAAAGAACGAAAGTTTTTATCAACTACGAGGTATAAAGAAAGAACTTATACTTTTCACTATAAATTTAATGAATTCTTAGCACATAGCTTGGGATATCATCTCGCGCAGATAACTCATACAGGGGATCCTTGAAATTCCGGGTCGGAGTTATACTTGCTGGACAAGCTCTTGGGATTTGGGATTTTTTCCATGAACAAACCCATGATTAGACCTCTTGTATTTGGAATGAGGATGTGATGAATTATCATGTGACAAATAAGCATAAACTAATTTATAGTTATTGTGAAGCAGTAATTGACGACTGTACTAAAATTTTCATTTATGCTGATTACATCATAAATTAAAAAATTGTGCGTATTGTAATTCGGTAAATCGGCGAGTCTGCTTCCAATTCTCGTGTAACCTACGGCGGCTAAGTCGAAATAGACGTGTTAGATTTGGCTAGTTGGTTTATCCGTAGGTAAGTACTAATCTTCTCTTCTAAGTCTTTCCTTCAACCTATTCTTCTATTAACCCTTGCTTGCTCTTATCTTCCTTCTACTTCCTTAACTTGGGGTTACAATACGTCGAATCGGGTTTGGATACTTCTCTTGTGTTAACGGTTTGGTCACGTGACTTACGGCGAACGATCAAAATGCGGTTTTAATGGATTACAAATGGGCGAACGATAGTTATAACGATGGTTTTTAGTTTGGGTTGGGTTATAGTTTACTTTTAATATGGGTCCGATACTTAAGTTTATTATGCAAATGTATTTACTTGGAGATATCACTTATTTTTCTCCTGGGTGGAAAGTTCTTTATTTGTAATAAAAGTATTGTTTACATTCAAGGTTAATTTCCTCTACATTATCTATTTACACTATATAATCATTAAAACCTATTTCCCTTTTATTTTAAAGAAAACCTGAATGTGTTATATGTTGTTGATTTACCTGAAGTAATAAAAGTATTAAATGTAATAAAAGTAATAAAACTAAAAAAAGTAAGATTTTTTTATTTTTTATATGATCAATTACTTGGGTAGGCAACAGGTCTTACATGTAATAATTGATTACAGGTAACCATGATAACAGTAGAACAAATTTTAAGACTTACAGTATATATATGAAATTTTTTTTTTAAATATTGAATTTTTTTTATACTTTCTTTTTTATATTAAATTTTTTATTTATTTATTTTTTTAGTATTAAGGTGATCTCTTGGTTTTTTAACTTTATTAATACTTTTGGATAACATAGTTTTATAGGAATTATTACAGAAAAAGAGTATAATTGGTTATATATGTAACTTTTCTATATTACCTATTTAAGGAGTCTGCCTAATAGTTTCCTATTAGTTGCTATATATAACATCTCTGCTTGGATGTTCTATTTAAATTCTCTAAACTTATAATCTGTATTAATTTTATTAAATTAGTTCAGATTTTTGTTTCAATCATAAAACTAATTTATTCTTAAGTTAAACCTTTCAAAACTTTCTGTATTCTCATTTATAGTTAATCTAAGCTTATTATAACTAAACTAATATTTGCAGTCAAAACTAACTATTAAATCACTATATCTTTGTAGAATTTATATTAATTTTTACAATTTTACCAGTGTTTTATCTATTCTTTTAAGTCTTTTTATACTATCAATTCAATAAGTTTTACATAATGTACCTTTATGTTTAGATTAACTAATAACCAGGTTGATGGATTCTTTTTATCTAGGTTTTTTATCTATACAAATAATTTGTTTTAGATTTTCTTTTTTAGTTCAAGATTTTCATAAGTAGTACTGTTAAAAATCATATTACCTCTCTACTTGGAATTTTCAAACAAGGTTTCTTATAGAATATATACTTTCTAGATTTATTTATATAATATTGCACATTTCTAAAGTTAGTCTTGATATAACCAAAATTACAAAATTATAATTTAGATATCTTATTCAAGTTGCTGAAATAGAACTATTTTTCAAAATTCTGCTACCAGTAAGATTTGAATTTTGAATTTACTGTTTGGAAAATAATAACTTAACTATTATATTAAGATTATTATTCTTATATCAAATCTTTTATATTTGATTTATTTTCTGTATATATTTAAATTAAAATACTCAAAAATAAGACAAAAATTTATTAAAGACCAATCAGTAAACAAATTTTATATCTATATAATAAATTCAAAATTTTTAATATTCAAAAGTTAATACAAAACTGGATCTAAAAATTTTAATAATATTAATCAAATCTTAGATATAAAGATGTTGCAGAATAAATTAATAATATATTTGAATTATGCAAGTATTTTATTATTGTTCAAAAAAAATAAATCACTATATTTGGTATCTTTATTGTTAGTTGCAATAAGAGCAATAAACAGATTTTATAATTCAAACATCAGTAAAGTTTAACTTATTAATTTATGTAATAAGCAAGTATTTTTAGACTTGTAAGAAATACTTGATAATAAAATAACAGATTTTTTTAAAAAAAGTTATAGTAAAATAAATAGATCTAATGTGTTAATATTTAAAGAAATAAAAATTATTTTAAATTTAAAGTTTTATTTTAAAACATTTCTAATGATTATTATATCAAGTTTTTTTTACAATATTATTTTTTAACTTTAAAATAAAATAAATATTATACTTTAAAGATGAAATATTTTCATAAAAAAAAAGATAAAGCATTTCAAAGTTAAACTAATATTTAGCTTATATTTATTTAATAATAATACTAAATAAGTATTTATACTAAATATTTTTTAAATGCTTAGTATTTTATAAGTAT